TCTAAAGTACTGTATAAATATAGGAGTAAATTCTAAGTTACGTTATGCTAATAATCATTTCTTTATTGTAACTGGTATTTCTTTATAGCAAAGTGAACCAGTCACCACCTTCTACATTAGACTTGAAGTGGATTTCTCTACTTTACCTGCTTATCTCTCAAAAGTAAGAGCACAAACGAACCTTCATACATATGTGTACATGTATATGACAGGCTCCATTATTCTCTAGGATAATCCTGGTGCTAGTTTTGCAGCATTGACTGCTGTCTTTCATCCACCAAATGCCAGTAAAGTTGATATCAGTCTCTATCTATCACCTTCTATTGAGAGGTAACTTACTAGTACTATAATACTTTTAGTTTGCTATAATATACATGTACATACATTGTACATGTACACTATACATGAAACTAAAATGAAAAAGCTTGTGAAACTAAACAGTATTCATTTAAATTATTTACGTATGTATGTTTTTAATGTTTTAGGATATTGGGTAGTGCTGCTAATATTAAGCTTCCCAGTTGGAACAGTGAGGACTCTTACCTCATGGACTATGTACCTAATGTACACAAAATACTCCAAGAAAAGGTTTGGAGGATAATAATGTAGAAATTATACCGTATAGCGGGAAATTTTGGAAGGAATTAAATTTGGCGAATTTGGCGTTTTGATAGCCATTTGCCAAAATAAAATCTGCCATTTTGAGCCTTTATACGCATGCTCAATGGCACATGGCCACTAATTCGCCAAATTAAAACCCGCCAATGACCAAAATTTAGCAATTCACCAAATTTTACTCCCTCCAAAATTTCTCGCTATACGGTACCAATATAATAAGTACTGTAGCATATTTTGAGCAACTTAAGTTAAATCAAGCGTTTTATGAATTTATGATACTATTATTATAGTAGGTATTATGTTCTTAGTTAAATTTATCTTTATTAATAATAGTTGTGTAGTTGATAATATTTTGGTTCTATTTTAAAGGTCGAAGGTATAGTACAGAACTTTGTAAGGCGTAAGGAGTACATAGCAGCACTGTTGGGTTTAATGGGGCAGTCAGTCCTGGAGTATGACACAGAGAGTTACATGAAGATTGCTTTCCTTTTTGAGTCAAATCAAGGGTTTTGCTTCATTGCCCATTGTAAGCTATGAATTACATACCATGAAGTGGAATATTTTACTGCCTTTATTATTTAATTTTAAATTTTTACATGGTTTTATTTTTACGGTTTACATGTGAGCTACTATAAATTAATATCACTAACAAAAATGTACTGATTTTTTATTTTACTTTTTTTCGTTATTGTAAATTAAAGTCACCTTAAAATATTCCACTTTTACAGTATAGAGTACATGTTTATACATTTATGTACATGTGTAATTGTGTGTATAATTGTGTATATAGGTGATGTTATTGTTATTATTTTAGTAAATTTGAC